GGGTTCAATCAGCTTCCTCCTATCGATGGCCTCTCTGAAAAGCAGGCATCGCCTTCTTCAAAATCGGAACGTCATCATCATCCGTCCGGCTTGTACTCCTAACCACTCCAAAGGCTGTCGTCGCCCTTGCCGTCTGCAAGTGTTTTTGTTGTTGTTGTTGTTGTTGTTTCCCGCTGCCGCTTCCCTCATAGCTCCCGCGACCTCCTCCGTGTTGCCCTCCATTCCCATTCCCCATCTCCAGATCCACCTCACTACCAGGCCCCGGACTAGGCGAGGGACAGGGACTCGGCGTCGCGCTACGTATATAGGGTGTATACGGCCCATTCCGATATTTATGGCCATTGATGGTCGTCAGTGTCTGCACCCCTTTATATAAGTCGTCGTCGTCAGCAGCAGCAGGGTTTGCAGAGTTGTGACTGCTGTTTCTCCTGACGCCGATTTGGAAGGTGGACAAGATGACGGGTGGCGCCATGGTTCCTCCATTTTCGCCTCCTCCTTGTCCTCCTCCTTCGTTTGGTGGGGTTTTCTGCTTCTTGAGGGCCTTCCTGGCCGCGACTCGGTCCTGGAGCAGTTGGGGCGCAAATCGGGTCCAGACGTACTCGCGGAAGGTCCGGGTGGTGCCGAAGACGATAAAAATAAGAAGACTGGCGGAGACGCCGGGGCAGAAGAGGGCAAAGTCGCCTCGGGCGCGGGCGGCGCTGAGGTCGGGGTGGGGCGGGATGTTGTCTTTGGTGTTGGTGTTGGCGGCGCGGAGTTGGAAGAAGATGACGACTAGTTCGAAGAGTCTAGATAGATGTCGGTGTTGTTGGTTAGATTGGTTCGGGACACGATACTAGTGTGAGACTGGACAAATAGGTATTGGGAAAAGATAGGAAAAAAAAAAAAAAAAAAAAAAACATACCCTAATGCCACAAAGGCGACAGTGAAGCGAACAGCAAGCCAGCTATCGTAGATGTTTCTGCGCGGTAGAGCAGGCCTGTGACCCGACGGCACGTTCCCACTACCCGAGTATGGGTTGGTAGTCTTTGACGAATTCTGGCCATATCGAACTTTCCAGGACACCAGGGCGGCCCTGGAGTGGATGTACTTGATGAGAACAGCGAGCAGAAGCAGGCTACCGATACCAAAGCTGAGGATCACTATATGGCTGTTAATTTTGGGACATTATGATTTCAGAACAAGGATTAGGGAGCCGCATACTGATAAAATCGGCCAAGACCATGAAGCCAAAGACACTGCCTTGCACAACATTGGTTCTGAGCAGGCACACCTGGATGATAGGCAAAATAATGGCGCTCGCCTTTGCCCACAAACTTCCCCTGAGGCGGTTGAGCCTGGAATTTCGAAGCTGGAGGATCGAGTTTGCCAATTCGACGGACCTATTCTGGTCAGCTGCGTGAGTCGTCCCCTCGACTCATATCGGACGACTGACCAGAAAACCACCAGCATGGCATCCACATTGTAGGAATAGTACTCTGTTGCTATCAATCAGAAACACCACCACCATCTGAAAATTTTGTAAGGAAGTAGACATACGTATGTAAAAGAGGACGAGGTCGAAGCCTGTAGAACCGCCGGTGACGTTTAACTCGGGCCTTCCAGCGTTGGCTACCGCGTTTTCGTACTGCGATGTCTTGACGTCGTTCCAGTAGACTATTGTGTGGATTTGTTGGATGATGGATGCCAGTGTGCCCAAGGACATGGAGAATGAGAGCATAGCCACATCTTGGCTGTGTTAGTATGATTGAGTGCTACAGTAAGCATGATGAGAAGGGCATAGAAATCATGACTTACAGCTTCTTCGCTCATGATGAACCCACACCAGCCATAGCAGAAGCAGGCTCAGAAACAGACAAAACAAACTGTAGATGAGAATACCAACGGCGGAGCCAATGGCCTCGGATGGGAGCTGGGCGGCCATCTCATGGCACTCACTAGGGTAGAGTTGCAGTGTACATTCTACAATAAGATCTGAACTATGTAGCTAGGGGAGCATGATGTGCAAGACGGGGGGTATAAGACAGATATGCCTCGTGGGGCGAGACAGAGGACGGGAGTCCCAACAATTCGCCCCCCTTGGATGCTAGTCTGATGCTACTCTGACCCTCTTGACACAGACTCACGACAGAAAGCGGGATGGTGACCGAGGGTCCAGGCTCGAGGTGTGGAAAAAAGCTGGGGATAGTGCATCCCGATGGCTGTCCGAGCGCTCGCTTGGCCTGGTAAGTTGATGTCGGTCAGAAAGTCCGCATTCTGTCGGCAGAGCCGGAGGCTGAACGGTGGTAAGGGTACTACCTAGTTTGACAGACGGTTCCAATCCGGATCTCGCTTGGGCGAAACGAATGCGAGCAAGCACCTGCATATAGTGTCATTGCATCCCTGGAGGAGATGGATCGGAAGAGGGCGAATGAGACCCTATGGAACATGGTAGGAGCATGTTGCCTTTCTGCTACCAACATATATTAAAGCATCCACATAGCCGACCCTCCCCCTCTGTTCCTCCCCCCGAGACGCTGACGCCCTAAGGTGAAACGGGGTCCATCCTTGACTTGACCCGCACTCCGGAGATAGTCGAGCACTTGGCCGGAGTGGGAGGAGTAGCAGCGGCTCGACAATGGAAAAACTCGAGTACATACCAAGAGGAAGATCTCATTCTGCAGGAACCGGGTGACCAACTCTTGAGGCCATGGGTCGTCGAGGGCTGGGCGACTTGGCTTGGACTAGTGTACACCAATTTGATGACCCATTGACCAAACAGAGGTAAGCTTTACCTAGCCTGACTATCTAGCAAGAGGAAGAAGGACGGCGGCTTCCTTCGTATTGAAAACGACACTATACTAGTGTAGTGTGTAGTGTACACTATGGTTGGTGATTGGTACTGTAATGGCACTCGGCAACTGGATCTGCAGTTGGGTCACCTACACTAGTGTACACTAACATTGATTTGATTTTTTTTTTCCAATAGCGTGGCCGGGATTCCACGTGGATAAATAGTGTAGTCCGGCAAGAGATGAACCCGAGGTCAAAGCGTAGAATATTCGGTGTTAGGGATTGCAATTTGGCTGAAGGCAAGGAAAAAGGAAGCAGATGTCGAAGTGAAGGGAACCCACCTGTTTGGCGGCTGCCTTTCTTCCAAATTCGGCATGGTGTATGATCCGAGTGTCATGACCGATGACAGATGACAGGCGGGTCCATTTAGGAAACCGGCTGGACGGAGATGGAAGCATGCAAATGTGGATGTAACCGGGAGTGCCCCGGCCTAGAGCGTACATCGCCCCGCAGCATAGGGCACCTACCCCCCCAGCTCGTCATCTCCACCCAAACATTGAATGTTACGGGTCAAGGCCCCCTGATGGATGGCGTGAGCTTCGGCCCTACTATGTAACTGCAGTGGAGACCTGCTGGGTTCTTACCCCACTTCAGCTGCCGCCGCGTCTCCATGGAAACTTCTGTGAGTGGACAGCACAAACAGCTACTTTGTCAAGCAACCTCGACACTACCCACCATCTTTCTGGACGCGATCGGGACACCACGCGTCGTTTGGGATGGTCTCAGTCAGCGGCAGTTCGAATTGATTCGGGTTCAAGGTTTATTTCTCGATATCCGTGCACACATCACTCCATCACCACATCCATCCATCCATCCATCCAGCATCATGGAGGAAGAATGGGAACCACCAGTGCCGGCCGGGTATAACGACGCCAACCGTGCCTTCATCCAAGCCTTCATGGCACGAGGCACCCTGACCTTTCCCGAGGGACAGAAGCTCGTTGCCGCGATTCTCTCAGCTACCGAGGACGAGACCGTGGACCCGCAGTCCATCACCCAGGACACATTCGCCAGCTTTGTCCGCACCGCCCGCGAGGCTGTGGAGCCTCTTGACTACGACATCCGCAGCTCTCGGGACCAGCTTCGAAATGGAGAGCGCATCTGGGCCTTCATCAACGCCCACAGCGACCCTGCCACCCAGATGGCCACCACCCGCTCTCCTGAGGAGGTAGCCTACATTAAGCGTTTGATGGACCTCCTGTTCGACGAGTTCAACACCGTACGAATGGAGGTGATGGCCGTCGACGAGGGACAAGCCCTCAAAGCCTCTCGCCCCAGCAAGCGGCGAGAGAGTCAGCATGTGAACGGCGAAGACGAGGAAGGCCAACCATCCACCGCCGCATCCGACCGTGGTCTCAAGCATTCCGAGGTTCTGTCCCTCCTCTCCAGCCTCGTGGCCGAAGGCTGGCTGGAGAAGAGCCGTGCCGGGTTTTACAGCCTCAGCCCCCGCGCGCTGATCGAGATGTGGAGCTGGCTGGTTGCCACTTACAACGACGATTCGGCGTCGGCTAGGGACTGGCAACGCATCAAGTTCTGTGAGTTGTGTAAGGAGATCGTCACGTATGGCCAGCGCTGCTCAGAGAGGGACTGCACCATCCGGCTGCACGACATTTGTGAGGACCGCTACTGGCGCACGAGGAGGGGAGAGAAGAAGTGCCCCAAGTGCGAGACCGAGTGGGCCGGAAACCATTTTGTCGGCGAGCGGGCTATTACCTCACGCCAGGCTTACCAGAGGGGCAGAGGCGGCCGGGCTAATGGCAATGGCAATGGCAGTGCCAGACGGAGCGACTTGGAAGGGGCAGTTGCTGCTCAGCAAGAGGTTGCTGATGATGACGATGAGGACATGGCGGAGGCTTGAAAATGTCCTGTTGCATGGTTTACTCAGCAGTTGTTCAACGGTGTTGCCATAACACTAGTCTTTTTTTTTTTTTTTACAAAACATCCGACGCCAATCCAGCACAGACAAACGTTCGTCAACTGGCAACAAATAGTTGGGTTTGTATTACGAAATACCCAGGGTATCTGAGATGGAGTATCACGACACTCCAGGGGCACAGCGCCCCAGCTTCGCGAAACACCTGAAAGTTTTGAACATGTACAAGCCTTCTTGGAAGACGGAAGACGCTTCGATTTTTGTTAGTCTACATACAGCGCCATCACTCACCTTACCCTTTTAGCGCCAAAAGGCCGGCGATCATGTTACCCCCCTGACTGTGCTCGGCCCAGCCAGCCACCCGCCCCTCCGTCTCGCAATCTCCGCCGATCAACCCTTGGCCCCGTACACTAACACTACTGTCGGTCAAATTTACTTAATAAAGCGACCAGGCCGGACTTGAGTCAGGACAGCGTCATGCCTGGACTGTCAGGTCGAAACTACTGCGATATACAGGGGCGCAAGACAAGCAAGCCGAAAGCGCTATAAAGCAGAATAGACCAACAAACAAACGAAGAAAAAAATAAAATAGTTGAAGCTGGTACTCCGCCTTGGAGAGTTACAGTAAACCTCATGTGTGGGGAGGGACAGACTGCCAGCTACTCGCCGCGGAGCTATTGAGATCGAGATCGCGTGGTCAGCAGCTATGATGGAAGGAGAACCTTCGCCGAACTTTGGTATTTCTTCTTAGTTGTTCTGCTTTCTGGTGAGGAGAGAACAGCATGGCAAGTACACGTTAAGTTTAAATCGCTAAGCGAAGATTTCTCCTGGATTATGGACATGATGTATACACGATAATGAAGGTTAGACAGAAAGAGAGAGAGAGAGAGAGAGCCGAAACAGTTAACCCCCAATGCTGCCCCCAATAACACTCTGTATGTCGTTTTGCTACTCTTGCATTGCTGGTCTGCCCACATGTCTCGTGCGTGGTGAACACATCGTCATCCTCGATTGGAGTAGTCTTCTCTTCATCAGCATCAATCAGTCTTAAACACAATCTTCGAGAAGTGTACCATCATTGCCTCACTTTGATACTTCTACTGAAGAATCTCGTTGCGTGCATGTTCACAAGCGTCTCGGACTTCATATGTGTCATTTTAAGCTCGGAAACTTCCTTTTCCAGGACAGCCCAACAACATATGTTAAACAGTCTGCCATTGACATTAACAGCCGCGGACATACAAGCAGACATCTGGCAACCCTACAACCCTGCGTTGCCAAACCTCGTTGTGACCAGAAAAATATGCCAACTGAAGCACCCCCGATACCGTAGAAACTCGATTAGTTGGCAAAAGGCTAGGTAATGCCTCAAAAATTTGGATATCAGATCAGACAGGGTGATGGTAGATCTGTAACGTTCATGTCCGAGCCTATATTCTAAAGCGTGAGCACAGAAGATGGCGGTAGACATTGTTGTAAAGCTTCCATTCACGAACTGAGCGGACATAGTACAGACGTGTGCTGCTTCCTAAAGGTATACTTACTATCGGCGCTCAGAAAAGGTTGGAGGTTAGAGGTTTGCCAGTTGACCGAGTGTCTACGGTAGAGGTAGCTTTCTACCAACAAAGAGAGTTTCCACGGTTCTCATAAACGACTGACCGTCTCCCTTTCACTTGGCCGCTGTAGAGGTAGTCTAGGTATCACCTTAACACTTTGTGTATGTCACTATCAATCTCTACTAACTCTTTGCTCTTTTCTCATTCAACATTCAACATTCAACATTTCCCAAGTCCCCAAGTCACCAGATCCCCGAAGTCCCGTCCAGCAATCAACACGGATCTAATTGATATAGACTTCTCCAGTTCCAGTCAGTTCGAGCAATACATCTACTACCTCTTATCCCCGGCCCCCCCTCTAAGAGCCGGCCGTCCGTCCCGCCACGCATCGTCGAAATTCACGTCGGGTCAGAGAAGTCAGAGAACAGCGCTTCAAAAAGCAAGATTGCAAAATCCCTACTCAACTTCGCCACTAGGTATCCTCGAAGCTACTACTCACCTTCCACTCCCGCCCCTTCCCCCAGCAGCAACGAGCCCTTCATGCCTTCCTGCCTACCAAGAATCCCGCACTTACCCTGACCGACCCTCGTATGAGACCGGGCGCAAAAAAATATGGATACGAATACAGATACTAGGTGCGAGAAATATTGATGTCCTACTAAAGTATGTTCTAACCTCGAAGAACTTGGTCAAAGCGGGTGTGAGGGCGCGGGAAGAGAGAGAAAATCTCCTACTCTCTTGCTACCGAGCCTACCTCTACGTCTGGATGGTGAGCTTTGAGGTTCGATATGATTGACATAGGCCTTGAACAATATCAAACGGGTCAAGTACAAATAAGTACGCTTCCAAGATCAAACGGGTCAGGCACAAACAAGTACACTCATTCCCAAGTAGTAGATATTTCAACACCTTTTGGTAATTTACCAGTTCTCTACTAGTTCTACCACTTGGGTATCTCTCAAAAACTCCATCCGAGGCACACCTAACCATATGTAGCCTACATGTCCTTGATGTGTAGCTCTTACCATTCGCTAAATGTCGAAATCAGATATGCAAAAACAAAAGCAAAGCAAAAGGAATTGTTAGAAACCCCGACATAACGAAACGGAACCGTGTTACGCTTCTGTCCCCATCCCAAAAGCATCCAACCAGAAGTGCAAACCTCTCTCGCCTCCATATTCATAAGTGACTGACTCTAGGTAGATCTCATCTACTTGACAGCACGTGAACGCCGCCATCGGAGTCCGTCCCACAGGAGTCCGTCCCGGGATACCTAATCATCCTGGACAAGCTCCTTGATTTCGTCCCGCCCACCAGGCAACAATTGCGCCCCGCCCCCACCCGTCGCCAGCAACTTCTCGGCGTCCTTCGCCGTGAGGTTGAAACGGTCAATCACCTTGCCGCCGTCCTGGGCCCAGAAGCCAACTTCATCGATAATGTCGTAGACGATATCTTCGACTATCTGCTCCTCGTAGCGGCCCGACACCGGGCGCAGGGGTTCTTGATTGGGCACACTACCGTCGTCAAGCATGTCCACGTCGTCCTCATCGCCTACCCCGTTCTGCTGCTTCTGGGGAAGACCAGACCCAGGTGGTGGGAACCAGAAGTCTGGGCCAAAGTTCACCTCGACGGCGCCACCGCGGAAAACGCTTACGGCTGGGTAGTATCCGACGGTTCCGTCGTCGAGAGCTTCTCTGCCGGCGTGTGCCCCTGACTGAGTACTTTGTTTTGATGCGGGTGGTAGGAAGGCGAAGAGGTCAGTCCAAGGCGTGCCCATGTCCTTTCCATTTTTGTAAATTTTGATGTACGAGTTCGGCAGTGTCCGTAGCGACGGCAATGGGTGATTTGGGTTCGGCGGTTCCGGCGAGTTTGAGCTTGCCGATGCTACCGGCGCGGGACTGAACAGGTCTTCAAGCTCCTTGGTTGTATGGTAGTCGATCTTCTCAAAATAAATGTGTTGTTTGAATCGAATGGGGATTCGGTCCCGGATAATGTTGGGTGCCTCGAGCGATGGTTCGTCGTCTGCCAAGTCGACCGCAGGGTTATAATGCCCCGTTACAATCTTCCTGTGTAGGTGTTCCGAAGGAAGCTGGATCTCCAGCCCGATCACATCTCCTTCTTTGATCTCCTCGCCAGGCGGGAAGAAGTCTTTCGGCCGTGACATGTGCACCTTTTGTCCAGCCACGTCTCGAATACCATAACTGTAGCAATCGAACCCGACGGGGGCGTCGAGAGAGGCCTCGCGCCGCGCCCAGCCCACGCGAACGTGCCCATGCGCCTTGGTATCACCTTCAGAACCTGGCTCGCGCAGGGTGCCTCGAGTGACCTTGCACTCCCAATACCACCTGCCCTCTCGCACGGCCACGTTGGCTCGTGACATACGGAAGCCCTTGTCGGTGGTGACATGACGACCCTGTCGGTCAAAGTATACGTGGGAGGCAGAGTCCTCGAAGGCCATGTGGGCAGCGTACGGCTCGGTCTCGGTCTGGCGATAGTAGAACATGGAAGGAAACGTTGGGTCGGCTATGCAGTGGGTGTAATGGAACGCTCGCTTGTTGAAGACACTATAGAGAAAAGGCAAATCAGAATTTGCTTCTCATGAATGGTGAATAGCAAAGAAGCGAATAAAGATAAGACATACTGTTCCGTTGCATCAAAGAACTCGATGGTCTCGCCCTCAGGCCCTTGAACCTCATGATGGCTGGTGAAGATGGGACCACGAGCGGGCTCGAAATCAGTAAGTTTGGGCGGAGCGAGCTTATAGCGCGCGGGGAGCAATTCGTTGATCGAGGGCTCCTTGTGTTGCTGCTTCGGGTCTGGAGTTGCTCTAGAACTATCGGAACCGCCTGCTGCTGCCTTGGCCTCTCTCTTCTTGAAGGAGTCCTTCTTTGTTCTCTTTTCGCGGTTTAGAACAGCTGCTTGCTGGGTGTCTTCGGGTGCCTGTATTTGGACTCTTGGAGCGGCCTTGTTATCTGGGTTTAGGGGTGATGGAACTGCCGGACTGTGATCGTCTTCAAGTGTGCGCTTCTGAGGGACCGTCGTGGCAGCTCCGGAAGGTGTTTGCTCCCTTCGGGGAGAGCCTACGTCGCTGGCCATATGTAGCTCGGCAGACGTCGTGCTAGCAGTAACGTTGGCAGATAATCAACCGAGTGATTATTTTTGCTCTCGCAAGCTGTCCTTGTCCTGAAGTTGACTTGTGTTTGGACTCGAACGGCGAGCACTCCAAGTCCAAAGTAGGTACCGGCGGGAGCTCTTCTGATCGACGACAGCTTATGGATGCTAAGAATAATCTGAGAATTGCCCGATGGTGATCCTACGGGTAAATGCTTTGGTATTCGGAGAAGACGCGTACTTTGGGAGAGCGAGATTGGGTTATAGAGTCCAGTTTCGGGGCGAATTGATGTTTGTCTTGAGATTTCTCTAAAGAGTTGAGAAATGTAAGAGGAAAGACATGTGAACCAGAAATGATGGATGGAAGCTTCATCCACTCGACCAACAGCAGCAGCGTGTCGCGACAAAGGGCGGGGCATCCTTCTGTTAGTGGCTAACGGCAGGCAGGGGTCCCGGAGCTTGATATGCTTGTTAGTCGCCCCATGCATGGGACACACAAATTGCTAACAGCGCGGGAACCTATTGCCTGCCGCAAAGAGGCCTTTGGCTAGCGCTCGACACTGGGAAAGACGCCAAGGCAGTTGCGTCGCGGGTGATTCCATTGTTCGCCTTGACGCCAGCGCTTTGAATTTCTGGATTTCTTCCCCATCAACAAACAACATTTCAACACTTTCAATTCCAAGACAACCCCAACCCCGAGTATCCTCCCACCTACCGAAACGACTCCCGCATCACTACAACGCCCGACGAGCATACATAACGGCCGAGCGACAAGATGCCCGTCGTCAAGGGAGGTGTGTGGACCAACATCGAGGATGAAATCCTCAAGGCGTCGGTCAGCAAGTACGGCCTGAACCAGTGGGCCCGCGTCTCGTCGCTGCTGGCCCGCAAGACCCCCAAGCAGTGCAAGGCAAGATGGAACGAATGGCTGGATCCCAGCATCAAAAAGATCGAATGGAGCAAGGAGGAGGATGAGAAGCTGCTGCACCTCGCCAAGCTGATGCCGACCCAATGGCGTACCATTGCCCCCATCGTTGGAAGAACCGCAAACCAGTGCCTGGAAAGATACCAAAGGCTTCTCGACGAAGCTGAGCAGAGGGAGGCATCCGCTCTCGGGCTGACGGGCCCTGATGGAGGCGAAGCTCACGCGCCCAGCGCCGACGATGTTCGCAAACTACGTCCTGGCGAGGTTGACCCCGATCCGGAGACGAAACCCGCCCGTCCCGACACCATCGATCTCGATGAAGATGAGAAAGAAATGTTGAGCGAGGCTCGCGCGCGTCTGGCCAACACACAGGGTAAAAAGGCCAAGCGAAAGGCCCGTGAGCGACAGCAGGAGGAGTCGCGCCGACTGGCCGCTCTCCAGAAGCGCCGCGAGTTGAAGACAGCCGGTATCAATATCAAGGTTACGACAAAGAAGCAGGGCCAGATGGACTACAATGCCGATATTCCATTCGAAAAGAAGCCTGTTCCTGGATTCTATGACACCACCGAGGAGATGTCTCGCAATGAGTACCAGCGCGCCCATTTCGACCCCAAGAAGCAGCAGGTTGGGAACAAGCGCAAGGGTGAAGAGGATGAGAGAGACGGCAAGAGGAGAAAGGGCGACAAGGACCCATCTGTGCAAGCTGCCCTCAAGGCCGGTCAACTGCAAAAGATGCGCGAGGCAGAACAGAGCAGCAAGCGGAGGGGTTTGGTTCTGCCAGCACCTCAGGTCGGCGAAGGCGAGTTGGAGGAAATTGTGAAGATGGGTATGATTGGCGAACGGGCAAATATGCTGGCTCGCGAAAGCGACAACGACGCAACTCGTGGCCTGATCAACAACTACTCGACACTCAACACCAATGCGCCAATCCGAACACCGATGGCCCCCGCTCAGGAAGACCACATCGCAAACGAGATCCGCAACATTCGAGCACTAACAGAGACGCAATCCTCACTGCTCGGTGGAGAGAACACACCTCTTCACCAGGGGGTGGGCTCTACCGGCTTCGAGTCGGTTGCGCCACGGAAGCAGGTCATGTCAACCCCTAACCCCTTAGCCACCCCCTTGCGGGCTGCTGGAGCTGGTCCCGGCGCCACGCCTCTCCGTGTCGGCCAAACACCGCTGCGCACTCCCCGTGATACCTTTGCTCTCAATGATGCCGGTGACGAAATGTCGATGGTGGGCGGCACACCCCGAGATGTTAAGATGCGCGAGATGTCTATTCGGCACCAGCTCAAGCAAGGCCTCGCGTCACTTCCCAAGCCCAAAGAGACCGAGTGGGAGCTCGAGCTGCCGGACGATCAGCAAGAGCCCAAGACCGCTGAGCAGCTGGAGGAGGATGCTGCTGAACGTGATCGTCGAGAAAGGGAGATCAGGGAGGCGCGAGAGCTGTTAGAGCGCAAGAGACGTACCCAGGTTATGCAGCGGGATCTACCTCGGCCTGTTCAAGTCGATTATCAGTCACTATTGAAGGAAGCCTCGCAGGCCGAGGACCCTGTCAAGGTTCTTATCGCTCGTGAAGCGGCCTTGCTCGTAGCTCATGATGCCACCAAGTATCCTCTACCGGGAGCTCAGCCAACCGGCCGGGCACTGGAGATCCAGAAAATCGACGACGCCGCGTTGCAAGAGGCTAAGCTTCAGGTTCTGATGGAAATCAAAGATAAACCAAAGCCGGAAGAAGTACAAGCGGTGTGGGAAAAGAGCAACAGCAGCTCCCTTTTGCTTGGCTTGGGATGCTACGAGGATGATGAAGAAGAAGAGCAGATTTCCACTATGCAAATTGCGCTTGAGGTATGTACAACTAACCCCTTTTCTGCCTTCCGGAGACTTCCTGGCTAACCTAACCTGCAGGAGGTCATTGACCAAATCGTCGCCTCGGCGGAGAAGGGCAACAAGCTCGAGAAGAAGCTCAACTTGCATCTCGGCGGTTACAAGAATCGGGCTGAAATGCTGCGGAAGAAGATCAGTGAGGCCCACGAGGCGTTGGAGAAGGCGAACAGCGCTCTGGGGGCTTTCAAAGTCCTGCAGTCCTCGGAGCAGGCCGCTATTCGGAACCGGTTGGCGGCGCTGCGTGAGGAGGTGGGCTTTGTGAGCACGAGGGAGAGAGAGGCGCAGGAGTTGTACAGGAGGACGAGGGAAGAGCTGGATGCTTTGACGCTCAACGGGCCGAAGGCCAATGGGTTCCGCTGAATGATGTGTTGGAAGAGTTTGGTCAGGTTGTGAATAATTGAGTGTTGGTTAAACTCTGGCATGGCATGGTATGTCTGGCAACTGTCTGTGGAATGGCCACTGACGTTGAGCAGCTAAAAATTAGAAGCATTGAACATTATCATGTACTTGGAAGACGTCTCTCAGATGCGCCGTGTGAGTATGTAAAGTTCGACGACCAACCTCCCTCTCAATATCAGTCAATTCTTCTGCTATGAGATTCTCATAACCCAGGGGCTTGGTAAGCGGGAGCCAAGGTGAACGTCGGATGCAAGTAATTCACACCGCAAAGAGCTTGTCGGGCAGCGAGACGAAAGACATTAGTCTCTCAGCTTGTCTTTCACTGGCAATGAGTCTGTACTGGGCTGTCATTCAATCTCTCTTATCTCTCTCTGCTCTGTGTCTTTTTCTTTCCTCCCTCTTCTGGGAATGCATCCCTCCCTCTCTCTCTCTCTACCCTACACAAAACCTGGCCAAATCAAAACCAAAGACGCTCGCAGTAAATCCCCCCCCAAGCCAAAATATGGAAATTTTTGCCATCCCTCCAACGCCTTGCCTATATCTATCCTCTATTCCATCCTCTATTCTCTATCCCGTCCGCCGTCTACCCTCATGAACTTCGTTGCCAGTCATCGTCATCCTCTTCACTCTTCCCTCCCCTCACTTGACGCAGGCGGAGGCCTCATCGTAACCACCACCACCAAAACACTGGCAACCACTATCCCAGCCAAACAAGCAAAAATCAAGCGGCGTAAGAGGAGGCGCGAGCGATGATGATGGGGTGAAGAAGTGGTCCGAGATGGATCGTCACCTGCGTCTGCTGAGGAATAAACCAAATTGTTTTCCTCATCAGCTGCTATCAGGGGAGTAGTCTCATCAGGCTTGGGCATGATGAACTGGTGCTGAGAGAAAAGATCAACGGCGGCGGAGGTGGCGGCGGCGTCTTGTTCTTGTTCTTGTTCTTGTTGTCCTTCATGCCGGCTACCACTAATGGTTGACGCGTCTTCGTCCTCGTCGTCCTCGTCCTCGTCGTCACTATCAGTTGACGTGGTATAAGACCCCGTAGTTGTAGATTCTTTCCGTCTTCGCCATGGTTGGGGAAGCGAGACGCTGTTCCGGACACCCTGAAACCGTCCGATTTGGCTGTAGAAGGATGAGTCAGGCGCTATGGACGAAGATGGGCCGAAAGATGGAAAGGGGCGGGTGTCGAGTCCTCCTGAGCGGACTGAGGCTTCGTCATCGTCGTCTGTGAGCCATGAAGATGATGGTGGCGCTGGTGGTGCTGCTGCTGCTGTAGGACTGTACATGCTGGCGGATTCGACGTCGCTGATTCGTCGGTCCCATCGACCTCGGGTTCGAGGGCTGACGATGGATGAAGCCATAGATTCCGTGGTGTTGCCGATGCTAACGCTGAGGAGTGAGCGTCCTGTCAAGGGGGTTTCTAAACCGAGGCCACCACCGTAGTAATCGTTCCGTGATTGTCCGGTGTTTGCGAGAATGGCGGTAGCAATTGAATTTGGGGAGCTCATTGTGTGTATTTATTTTTGGTTTTTTTTTTCATCGAGGTCCCCTTGTTTGAACTGCCATATGAAAAGGCCGTGTGTCAACGAATGGGAGAGCACCGTCGGAGATGAGAAATCGGGATAAAATGAAGTGAGAAGGAAGGAACAAGTTGTTGGGCTGAAATCCAAGCTGACAGTCAGTCACATCGAAAATCGAAACAACGATGCGTTTGACCTTTAATATCCACTTTAAAGATCCCTAACCTCCCCCATTCTTTTTTTCATGCTTATTTCCTCATTTTTCACCGAATATCTCCCGCTTCACTTTTTGAACTAGCATCAAATCCCCTGCAGATCCAGGCCTTTGCGGTCGGGCACTCGACGAGCACGCGTGGTTGACCCGCGTAAGGCCCAAAGTGACCATCCTCGCTGTCGGGTGACCAAGTTCGCCAAATTCATCTCCGCCCCGCACTGGTGATCCCCTCTGGCAGGGCTTATGTCGGAGGGGACGGTTGAAAACGGTCTAGCGGCTCCAGTGGGCTAGAACCCTTGTCTGTCAGTGCAATGCATGACCTGAATGGCTCCTAGCCCGGGGTGTCAGCAAGTGTTATGGATGCGGAGGTTGAGATGGGACGTTACCGCGAGGTTTGTTCCATTTGCCTTTTGTCTCTCTCTCTCTCTCTTTTTTTTTTTTTTTTTTTCTTTCTTTTTTTTCCAACTTTTTCTTCAAAAAGTATTCTTCCGCTCTTGCAACCCTTCTTTGCTTGGGATTTTGAAGTGTGGAGGCGGTAACCGAGGATCTGAATGGTAAGGTGGTGGGTGTACATTGGAGTGCGAGTGTGTAAGTCTAATTGCTGCTTTCTGCCATGGTAACTGAGGCACTTGTCAGGTCAAGCTCCTCTCTGGAGATAACTTAGACTTCTTTCAGATGCGGTGGGCGGATAAAACCTTTCGGTCGAGTAAAACAGTTATAACTCTTTCTAGCATATGCCAATCCCTTCTATGGCCTCAAACGCCGCCCTTCCCTCAAAACAAGTCATACCACATTCATTACCAGAACTGAAGGCCTATGCCTGGGTGCTTGCCAAAGCAGCAGGCACCAAGATCCCCGCCCCTGTGATTCCCCCATCATGGCAGGGCTCTAGTTTCACGCGTATCCTTTTCCCTTGGGCTGCGAACTCTTTCTCCATGATAAAATCCAAGAAGGCTTGCGTGTCTTTCAAGTAATCCTGGAAGTGCTGTATACAGCCGCCAGTATATCCCACTACAAGCTCTTCAACATTGTCACCATTAGCGACGCCAACTCGAACTGGTTCTGACGGGTCAGGAAGCTCGTCAGCGCAGCGCAAAAGTCCGATAGTGGCCGCCGCGACAATGCCTGCTGCTCGAGTTTGGATAGCCTTGGCTATGTGATACAGGGTGTCCGCATGATCGGATGTCCATGTAAATGTCGAATCCGTAGACAATTCGAACTCTTTCTGTAACTGTTCCAGAATATCACCCTTGTCGCTATCCGGGTAGAAATGACTGAGAAAGGTTGTGGAGAGACCAAAGCGCTGGTGAAGCCCCTGGGGCAGATCCTCAGGCAGGACGCCTTGGACAGTGGTCAAAAAGTCCACAAATATGAGCCTCGCCAACTCGCCCAGATAGCGACCAGCGGTCATGTACTCTAATGGCTGGAAACCAGGGGCTTCGCATGCCTTGTCCAGCTCGTCGTCCCAGCGACTAATCAACCCAAGCATGCGTAGCGGCGATGCTGACCCGTTGATGCTCCATTCTGTGTTTACCGCAATCCCGACGTCCAACAGGTCATAGTCTTGCTGAACACTGATCAGATCCGGAAATTTATTTTTGTGCAGTTTGCTGAACTGGAGGGGTATCGTAGCGTTGCATCCAGTACCGACAATGAGGCCCATGGCTGCTTTCTGATTGGGCGCGGCTGGGTATTGATATACAAAGGATACCAATGTAGCCACAGCATCGTTGGTGATGGCGGCGATTTTTAAAGGAGGTAAGCCGGCTGTCCTGTGCTGTTCGTAGCCCTTGATCAGGTGACCACCCAGGTCTAGATCTGATGTGATGGCGAAGCCCTTGCCCATAGCCATCAAAGTAGCTTCGGAAAGCGAGGTCTGCTTCATGGGGAAGCTGAAGGTGACGCCCATGGGCAGCTCTTCCTCCGAAGATAACCCCCAAGTTTCACACCCTTTCCGAACCACCTGTGCAATGTGCTCTCCAACCCATCCAAAGAGATGTTCTGAGTTCTCGTGTTTGAGGTGATCCAGGATAGGCCATGACTGCTCGAGGAGACGATTTAGGCGGCGATCTTGGCCCTCGGATAGGAGTTCCACGAAGCCCACTCTCAAGTTTGAACCACCACTAAAGTCGAAAGTCAATATCAAGTACCGGGTGGAGTGGAAACCATGAACACTGTGGGGGTATCGTACATGTCCATGGCAAGGAAGCTGTTTATCACATTGTCAGCAAGCTGCCACCACCCATTTCAAATGCCAAGTGCCGAGATGTAGCAATATGGTATGGGCAAATATCGAGAACTTACCGACCGGTGCTTTGGCGTCCCACAGGCCTCAAGATGGACATGGAAATGGGAGTTGGCAGGAACTGATTCAGCGATTCGGTACACAAGTCTTTGAAGTTGGAATAGAATTCCCTGGAGAGATTCAAAGCAACGGCATGGTCCAGAGCCAAGGGCTTCAAAAACTGGTTGATGGTAGTCACAGCCGACGAGTGCGACATTGTTGCCAATTCGGTTTCTGCTGATGGTTGAAGTTGAGGTCGAGGGGGCTCTGGCTGCTAGTTGGCGTTATCGCGTTGTCATGTCTTGTCGAGCTTGAGATGATGGCCCTGGATGCTGGAAGAGAGGTCGAGAGGGGTCTGACTGGAGTGAGGCATGTGTTGTCTTTATACAACCGGCTGAATCAATAGTTTGCGGCTGGGCAGTCTTATCGGAAGGAGCAATTGTCCATGAATCACGAGCGCTTGCTCGGGCTTTAGGTTGAATCAAGTAAAGTCCATGGCTCGGGGAGGAGTGAGTTGGATGGGCTTGTGGAGGATGATGTGGATTGTCGCAGAGGACGACCCATTCCGCCCATTCACTAGACTGCCCGGGCCAGAAGGTTGATTGATGTCACGTATCATCGGAAACATCCATCGGAGTTTATACCTAGAGGTAAGTAGAGGTAGGTACCAACCACCACCTAATAATTGCCAACAAGCACTTACCTAGCAAGTGCAGTGGTGACAAAGACCCGGGAGCAATCAGCATGCCGCCTTCCATCCCAACACAATGATTGCAGGCACAACGGCTGATGTGATTACCGGCCTCCCGTCGGAATGTTGCGGGGTTTCCAGTTGGGATGGATGGCGTCAACGGGGTTGCGGTTGCTCGCATGTAGCAGATAGATTGCTGACAGCTTTACTGCTGTTAGTAGGTCCTGAATGAATTCCTGTTAGCACACACGTCTCCACTTTCTATTCGGGACGAAGCAATCGAGGGTACCTGCGTGGTGAGACCTTCCATCTCATCAACCGGGCCATGTGGCCACGGCAGAGAGCAAATTGTTTCGATGACCGAGAGTATTCTCAACAACAAGCAAAACATCCAATATATCTTGGCGATCTTTCTAATAACAGCTCCTCGGTCTGGTGATAGAAAGACACGTAGCCATGTCCCGGGAAGCTGTTCGTCCGGGACTGATAGCGGGCAACTGCTAGAGGCACTTGGGGTACCTGGGCTAACATTAACATTATGTAGAGGTAGTGCTTCGCTTGCCTGGTCCCCTGGTGCTGATAGAGACTCCGTCTCTGGACATAGGGTAGTAACACCCCCAGTTAAGCGCCAGGGCATCACCGGGATCCCATTGCTCCTTAGCACTCCACGTTATCACGCCTGTCTCCACTTTGGATGGCTTGATGCTCCGTTCGTGGCCCATCTGAGTGACGATGCTTGGACCCCAACATCAGATCTGCTGCCTCTCTCCGTCCTTTCCCCCGGACCTCAACTCTTCAACCCTGTCCACCATTTCGAACATTTCTTGAAGCACTGCAGTGATACAAAGTATATTTACACAACACAGCGACAATTATTGAGTGTTTAGCGATTTCGCAAACATGGACGAAAAAACTCTTCTACCGACGACAACACCAACCATCACCATATCACCACCTACTCCATCCAACCCCAACAGCAGCAACCAAAATGGCCGCGATAAACACGCCCTCCGTCGCTTCCTCGTCGCCGTCTGCCTGATGGTAATGGTATGGACCCTGTGCGGGCTCGACATGGACCTCGACGACAACGACGTCCTATCGGAATGGTCGCTCGAGCAAATGCCGATATCGACTATCGACACCTTTACCGTACCAATCACCGATATCGACGTTGGCGGTGACGCTGACCACGAACCGGTCCCCCTTGAGGCGCATATCATGAGCAAATGCCCCGACGCGCGAGACTGTTTCCGGGAGTTGGTACTGCCTGCTATGCAGAGGGTGCATACCAAGGTCAACTTTACCTTGTCGTTCATCGGAACGTACGTACTAGCAACAAACAATCCAGAGAGATAGGATAAAATGGGATGCTGATGATGATTGCAGACCGACCAACGGCGATGATGGAGTTGCTTGCAAGCACGGTCCAGAAGAATGTAAGTGGGAGGAGATTTTTCCCGTTTTCCGTTTTGGGAAACAGACGGATGTGTCACGGGTGGAGACTGATATGACCGATTTGTCCTTTTAGGCCTTGGAAACATCATTGAGCTTTGCGCCCAGAAGCTGTACCCCGATCCCAAGATCTTCCTTGGTTTCACCATGTGTTTGGCCAAGAACTACCATGAGATTCCTCAGCGGAGCTTGATCGAAGACTGTGCGCTCGAGCACGCCATCGACTTTGATCAGCTCAACCAATGTGCTACCAAGGACGACGGTGCCTTGGGTATCGGTTTGCTGAGGGACAGCGTCAAGAGAAGCGCCGATGTACGTTTGGTCCCTTCTTCCCGTTATACCGTAACCCAAATCACCCCGCCTCATGGTATTACGTGGTATCTAACATACTTCTTCCCCCCTCTCCAGGCCGGCGTAACCAAGAGCTGCACCGTCCGCCTTGACAACGAGATCTTTTGCATCCGCGACAGTGGCAAGTGGTCTGACTGCCCTCACGGCTCCAGCGTTAACGACTTAGTCCTGGCGGTAGAGAAGCTGTACGGACGTGAGGTTTAGAGCACCTGCCTTATATAGTCACCGTGATTTACTTTTTTAGTTTCTCCCCCTCCTCTTTTTGCTGCTGCTACTCCTTCTCCTTCTTCTTCAACGGCCCAAAAACATCCTTCCACAAATCACTCTCTTCCCCAAGCGTATAGCACATAGTCAACTCCTCCATCCCCGCCTCCCCATCCCCCTCCATGACCTCCAACGTCTCAATAATGCTATCCAATCCCACCGCTTTGCCCACCGCCTGCGTCGCCCCCGCCTCCAACTGCACATGCACAATGTGAATGTGAAAGTGGTAATACGTAGGCTGGTAATGCACATAAAGCTTCAGCTGGTCCTCCTCAATCTGCGGGTACACCATGGTCGTGGCCTCGACAAACTTCCTCTTCATGTGCCTCAAAAACGGCACATGCTTCTTCTTGAGGTCCCTTAAGCTCCAGAGATCCCTCCGTTCCACCAGCCCCAACAGGTGCAGCGCGTCCAGCGTCTTGCGATCCCAGTTCAGATCCGGCAGCAACAAAAACCCTTCGTTGTCCGCGTCTTGGCCAAAGGGCGTGCGGTAGATGACGTCCTCGACTTCCTTGCGGCCCTCGATAATGTTGAAAACCCAATTCAGCCGGCCGGCTTCGCGCTGTGCTTGCATATAGGGACGCACGTGCGACTGGTAGAGGGCGGGCGTCTCGGTTACGTAGCGGACTAGTTGGCGGGAGTACTTGGCGATGTGTTTGGGCGTGCAGGGGTAGATTAGGTTGATTTTGAGGTCGGAGAAATCGTCGGCTTGTTCGTTGTCGTTGTCGTTGTCGTCGTTGTTTTCGGGGTCATTAGAGTCGGTGCTGCTGCTGCCGCTGCCGCTGCTGGCCATGTACCAGTGGTAAATGTCGTTGGCGCCGAGGTTCTTGAGCGTGCGCAGGGTCAGGGGCGCGGAGGAGAGGTAGTCGGTTGAAGACGGAAAGGGAGCGCGCTCGAGGATCAGTAGGGCCGGTGAGGAGTCGATGGTGCCCAGGAGGGTGGTGCGGCGGCCGGCTTGGTCTGTTTAGTGAGTGAGAGTAGAGAATTGTTAGTATACGTGATGTTTATGTTGGTGGAGTCTCACTGAGCTTCTAGGTGGCTCTTCTCAATGCATGTTTTTATGTGTTTGGAGGCTGGAGAGCAGGAGTGAAACGGTTACGCACCTTGGTTCAGTTGGCGCTCGAACTTGAACTTGGGCACAAGGGCCTCAGCATTGGCCTTGACATCGGACATTGTCGGGGCTCGAGTGGTGTTTGGCTCTGTAGAGTAGTATAGTGGTCGTACGTACGCACGTAGGTATTCTGAAAGGGTTATTTGGGGCTCTATGGTAATGGGTGTTTGTATAGGAACATCAAAGTAGTGGGAATTTTAGTTGTCGAAGCAATTCGGTTCAGGTTCCGTTGTTTGAAACACCAAACACTCGAGGTGACAAAAAGTTGAGACGAACGAACTTCCTACGCCCTGATCAGCGCCTGAAGTGCCCTCCCCCGCAGTGGGGTCAAGCTACCTGCGGGATGGATTCCTCCTAGCGAGGCGGGACGGGTGGACACTCGGCCACCTCAACCAGCCAGCCCCCGGGCCTACACCTACATAATGAGGTGTGATGGAGGTTCCCGGGGGCGGGCCCCCTGACCAACCGTTAACGGAAACCTTGACGGTGTTGTTACCTATCGCCGTCTAGGCCTCGACTCAGATTTACTTTACCTAGGTTATAGGGGGAGCCAGCCCAAGTAGAGATATAAACTGCCCTCATATTACCTGGGTAAGATGAATTTAACCCTGCTTTACATGGGTAATACAAGAGTGCGTCGGCACATGCCAATTGTCTGCGAGAATCATTTGTAATATGCTTCTTTACATCTTCCCACTTGGCTGCTCTCCTACTCCAAGTTGTGAAATCCTGAAAACATTACTGCCTTTGGCTATAGGTAACTATAATCCTGACGTTATCACTTAATAAGCTTGATGTTAACGAGTTTAACCGACATTGTTCAGCTGTATTCATTCCACAATGCTTGGACTTTTCGGCATCATATCGGACGCTACCCCCGGGAACAACTGAAACAGGAAAAAAACGGTACGAAGGTGACGTAAAAAAAAGGTCCTTTTGCTATTATCTTACCATACTGTCAATGCTTCAGCGGGGCCACGAGACAGTTTGTCAACAAAATAAAAATCCTATAAATTGTGCTCAAAAGCCTCTTGGGCAACTTTGGACGTCCTGCCATAAGCTACTAGTGTAGAAAAGATATACTAAACAAGGAAAATGTTTGTCCGTAAGGTATGCAATGTGTTATAAAATAACGTTAGTGTCCCATCCTCTTTGCATTGGGATGTCATCCTGAAGGACGGGAATTTTCGTGTCCAAGGAACCTCCTTCTTTCCAGCCCAGGGAAAAGGAAAAAGAGATAGAGAAAAGTAACAGCGCTTTGTAGTAGTTGGCGATCGAGCTTCTCACTTAAGCTCATCGATCTTGGCGGAATCTCTTTCCACAACCGCCTTCAAGACTTTTAACCTCTCCTCGGTAACCCTGATTGCCTCTTGAACCTCCCTTTCGTTCATCTTCTCCTCCCTCAACTTTTCCTCAGCGGTTCTGTATTCCGCCTCTCCCTTTTTCCTCCCGTTGACGGGCTTTCTGACGCCCATTCCGCCTCTTTCTTCGACTCCACCACCACCGTGCAACCTGTCTAGTCCTGCCCTGTCTTCAATCCAGTCCCAAAGTTCGCTCTCCTCTCTCCTCCACATCTCCTCGTACGCTGCGACTCTCTGCGCGTAGTTCGTGTATCCCATCAGATCTCCATGGCCGGGGACTATAACTGCGCCGGAGCGAGAATTGTTCATTCCAAGTCGAAGCCAGGTTGAGATCAAAAGTCCTACCAGCACACCGTAGAGTATATTTCCAGTTAGGACGGGACGCAGAGGATCCACAATAGGACCCAAGAATGGACGAAGAGGTTCCAGTAGCCCCCAATCCTGCTTCTTAGCCGGCGTGTGCTTGACGCTTTCTGCATCGCTGGTTGGCACCGACGCAACCTTGTTCTTGCGGCCGCGCTTTTTGCCTTTGGGTGCTACACCATTGGTTTGGGTATTAGAGCGAGGACGAGATGAGACGGCAGCCTTGAGTGCTACGAAGAGGTCTTTGGCGTATTGCGCTTGGCCTTCGTTTGCACCACGTTCAATTGCACCTGTAAAGCGTTAGTAAGGACCAGGGTTTGTTTTGATTTGGAGCACGGGGAGTGGATTGTACCTTTAAGCCAGCTCTTGCCGGACCACTCGATCGTGCAGTTGATCTGAACCCTTGTCGCGTTGTTTTCAGCCCAAGAGAGACAGTACTTGGTCTTGACCACGAAGATGTTGCCGTTTGGCACATCGGGATTCTGCGTCGAGACTGTAACATTGACAGCCTTTTCAAAATCAAGATTGTCAAGTTGTTCGGTAACCATGCATTTTGTTTGCTTAGGTCCGATGGAAGCATTCAATGGCTTGATATAGTTGAATGTCCTGGTCTTTTGCTCGTTGTTGAGGCCCTTCTTATCATCCATGTTGATCTCAAAGCACTTCTGGTCGTTAAGAAGCCACTTGGTCATCCAGGCTGACGATGGTGCGCCAAAGAGGAGGTTGTAAACCTTACCCAGCGGCGCGGGAACGACATCGTCGCCTATAACTCTGTCGTAATGGGTTGCGGCGTCTCCGCACTCGGTTGGTGCATGGGTAGCCGGACCAGGGAAGTCATCCGCGACTGTAGTTTGCGCTATCTCGTCCTTGTTTTCCGTACTGGCCGCACCCATCATTCCCGACGGCTTCCGTGAAACTGCTTGTTCTCCGGAGGCATCTGCTGCGCCGGCGTCTGATACCTGTGTTCCATCTTGATCGTCTCCGTTGTCCTCATCCTCGTCGTAAACGTCGTCCTCACCAGCACTGCCGCTTTCGTCGGCGGATCCGGAATCGCTGCCCCCTTCCGGTGCCGACGCGACTTCCGTTTCGTCGATTTTTTCGGTCCTGTCACCGCCAGTACCCTCCAGCCGAACACCGTTGAGCGAGCTCTGCAAGTGAGGATGGCCCAGTTTCCAAATCTTGACAATCAGGTCGTAAGTACTATCACGGCTTGTGAATGAGGCGAAAATGTGCTTGGCATGAAGCGTAGAGATTTCCAAGCCGTTCTTGAAGACAAGGGCTGTCATTCTTTTTTCAACGGCAACAATCTCATCGAAACTCATAACGAGGGTTGTGACCCATCCGAAAATGTTACTGCTGAAGCACAGATGACCCTCAGACACGTACAGTCTACCGTGGACAAGAATATCACGCTGAAGGGCGCAGCTGTAGTCTTCGATCAGGTAATCATCGTCCGGAACACTCTTGAAAAGGGTATGGAAATCCCGGTTGCGCCTCTTATTGGCAACGGCGAATCCCGTGAGCTTGGGGGCATTTGCAGGAGGCGCCGTGCCATTAGCTGCGGCAATTGCTGCAGCGACTGTGTTCCCGCTTGTCCCCGAGACGGCACTGGTGGCACGTTTCCTTCGCCTGCTAATGGCGCTCCGAATGCTACTGCTTCGTTGAACTCCCGATCCTGTCTTGCCTTCATATACGCTCCCGTTCGGTGTTGTGCGTTCCCCGCCGGGGGACGCTTCATAGAGCGACCGGGTCCGGTAGATATTTGCGTCTTCAGGCAGCGCAAGCTCGGGATTGCCATTGGCGTCGATAGGAGCAGACTCGGATCTTCCTCGAGCTTCGTGTTCGGTGACTTTTATAGTTGCCGGGGCGGGAGCTGTAGGTGGCGGGTCAACTATGCCGAGGTGGCTGAGACTGAGGTCGCCATTCCCAATCGTCTTGACTGCAGGCTCCTTGGATCCCATATCTGCGCCGGGAAAGGCTTCCGTAGCTGATTCGACTTCCACGTTGTTCACGTCGTTGTTGCTGCCTCCTTTGTGACTTGTGAAACTCGACACAGATCTGTTCTTGCCGTTCCCGGGTGCCGCCAAGTTCGCGCTTGAGATTGTGCTGCTTAATGTGTTTGCTGTGTTTTGAACAGCCGAGAACATGGAAGAAAAGAAGTTCGCAGTTGGGTTGCTCGGGTTTTCGGGAGTCGGCGTCAGGGGAGCGGAGGTGATGTTGGACAGTTTGCTCGGACCAATACTGCCGGAGCCGGCCCTGCTTCTGCCCCGTGGCGAACTCATGTTCCCTATCAGCGCATGCGGGTTTCTGCGTGGGCTCGGTGGAGCTGTAGCTACTGGGCTATTCTTCGCTGACAGAGCAGGCGCACTATGATCTGTTGGCGTAGGAGGGGTGTTAATGATAGCCGGGGTTGCTGAATCGGTCGTCGACTTTGGTGGCGTTTGCGGAGGAACAAGAGGGGTGAGTTTCTGGCTTTGTGAGAGTCGGCGGATCCGGTCTGTTGCCTTGCTCAAGGTATCCGTTACAATTCCAGAGGTATTTGTGGAAGCGCCCGTGTCGCTAACAGTGATGTTGGGAAACTGCTCTGTGCTGCCTTCTCTCGATCGCAAGATGTCCTGTTCTCGGCTAGCGGAGGGGACCCTTTGGGGCAGGGTGTCGTTGGTTGACGCAATTGCTGTGTCAGCTCGCTTGGCAGAATATGCGGACTCGAGGCTGTCGGTGCTAGCTGCAGGCAAGGCCGAGGAGCGAATGGACAAGTCGGGGAGGTCTGATTCGGGAGTTTGGACTTCTGGAAGATGGGCGGCCTGCACGAGCGGTGACGACGTCGTCAGATGTCCAATCTGGGACGGATGGGTCGAGATTGGGGTGGGGCGGAGTGACGCGCTGGCACTGAAATAGAAACCGGACTGTCAGCTCGTGGGAGCGGAACGGGGAGATTGGGGCCAGCCAAGATGACGATATACAAGAAATAAGCCTGAAACGGGAGGGATAGGGATAAAACAAAAGGGAGAAGGAATGTTGGGCCGAGGATGCTAAGGTTGAGGAAGAGGGTTTGTGAGGCTGTAACTGGGAGATGGGAAGCCAACGTTCTTGTAGAGGAGGTTCAAGTTACTGCGGTATCCCTCTGCAGCACGGGGGAGGCGCAGAGCCATGGAAGACCCCAAAGACGGGAGAGCAAGCGACGGTTCCCAATGTCTTTGTGGTGGAGACGTCCAATGTTGCTCCATTACGGCTCCGTGATCCTGGAATCTTGGATCCCCTGTCGTCGCCTACAGACTCTCCATTTCGCTCGGATTTTAGGCGCCTGGAGCCACTGAACTGGGACGCTTTTTGGGGAGAATGGAAGGGGAGGGATGAACGGAGACGGGAGGTAAAAGAATGGAGACCAGGAGGAAGGGATTGGAGTGAGGAAATGGAACATCCACTTACGATTCAGGGTCCGGTGTCGACTCGTATGGAACCGGCGTGGAGAGCGGTTGGGAGTCGGGGTATTCTGAATCGGTGTTGATGTTATTGTTGTTGGTGTTGTCGTCAGTATTACTATCCACCCCCTCTGCGGCTGGTGACCTCGACCTGGAGCCTGCTGTTCGTGTCTGCGCCTGCGCCTGCGAGGCACTTGTGGACTGCAACCGGAATCCGGGGACGGGTATTGGGACCGAGACTGCATCATCGGTCCCAATCGAGCCAGTGCTGCTAAGACTCGCAGATTCTGCCAATGATGACCGTCTTCTGCGGCGGTCGCGCCGCTTGGCCACTATCGCTTTGGGGAAAAGCTTCTGCAGGCCGGTGGGTGCATTATCCATGATTCAGACAGAGGGGACTTGTTGTTGTTTGCGCCGTGGTGGTATCAAGGAAGAAAGAAAGTGTGTTCAGGTGATGAAGGCGACGTCGCAGTGTCGTCGGTCGTTTGTTGAAAAGGGCAGGTTGTGTTCATTCCAGTCGACCAACGTGAGTCGTGGTGATGCAACAGTTTGTTTGTTAGTGATAATATCCAATGCTTGGAAGCTTCGAATCGATGGCTCCCTCCTTTGAAACCATTGGCGCTATGACATCGTCATTCATCCAGGGCGCAGCGAACCTTGATGGCAACCCTGAACCACTCAGCGAATCCGAATCCTTCTTCAAAGTTCAGCAAGCAAGCAAAACCAACCTCAACAGCAGTTGGCTTGATGTAGTTTGTTTGGTGTAGGTAGTATTCGCTTACACTTGTGTTGCAAACTGTGCTTGACGTATTTGGAAAAACCGAGGCCTCGTCGTCTTGTTGTCTTGTTGTCTTGTTGTACGGACTGCCAGAAAGACGTGTGAACCTGCCTTCAGATTCAGGTGTTTGTCTTTTTCAATTCTCTATCTATTTGTTTTTTAACTTTTTTCCCGCTCCAGTGCTTGTTTCCTTTTACGAAAAGCTCCTCTTGGAGACAGTGACAGTGACGGGAGCGACGTCTTGCGCAACAACCAACAACAGCGACGAGGGACCTCCAGATGTAAAAAGTCTTGATGGTTCCTTTTGCTTCTCATTTCCACTTCGCAATATCCGAATGTCCCCCAGAGATCGCTATAGTGTACAAACTATGCTGTTAGATTCCCTGCCCGTCGAACAGCGTCAAAAAGAAACCCGCTAATTCCCCGGCCCCCCCTGCTGTACCTGGTGCTGTACCCCAACCTTACTGATAAGATAAGACGAACCCTCGTGGCGATGGCCATCAACCCCGTCAAGCTGAGGTCAACTCCACCTCCCTTGCCGCTGCTCGTCCATCCTAGATGCCATGTCATCAACATCAGCCCCTTGGTGTTGTCCTTGTCTTTCATACGTACGAGCATATCCGGCAAAGTATTGTCTTTTTGATACAAACTCTCTGTGTTTCAAGGCTTTGATCATTCCCAGCGAGTGGCCTCTATTTATCAAGCCTTCTTCGACACTTACGTGCCACCTACCTCTTGACGCTCCTTCGCCCCCCTTGTGGTTCCCGTCGATGTATAACAACAGGGCAGACACGAAACACTCGCTCCATCACCCTTCTGCGCGCACCTCAGCGCCGATCTCGCCGCCAGAGCTTCTATGCTAATTGAAGAAACACGGGTTGTTCCTGACGATCCATCAAGGCGAAAGCGCACTCGGTGTAATCCAACGGGCTTATTCTCCAACTCGAATGCTATGCAGCCGTGCCTGTACGCGGACACAGAAACGCTAAGCTACCTCATATGCATGCCACAGGTCCATCCACGGAAATCACAAAGTCCATCAACCATTAATAACACAAGCTCAGAAGCAGTTTCAACATCCCTGACGAAAATCCTACATGTGCGCGTCCCTGTATGCCGCAATGCTGGAAGAACCACGCGATGCCAGGTGTGGTGGATAAATAACGGCTTTCTTTTATAAGTGCCTTCTTTGAGCCAGATGGTCAACAATTGGCGGTTAACAACCGCCCGGCTAGCTCAATCGGTAGAGCGTGAGACTCTTAATCTCAAGGTTGTGGGTTCGACCCCCACGTCGGGCTCAATTCCCGATGTTCCTGGTTCACCAGGACAACATCCTCTTTTTTTCCCTTATTCCCCGCGTATAAGGGTCTTCTTCTCTTCGTTTTTCTCTCTTCGTCTTCTTTTCTCCTCGTTTTGGTCACCGCCGATCTCAAGCATGTGGACTGATGTTACCGTGTTTCATGTTCCTAGCGTCACTTTGTTTTTTAATAACCCGTTTTTGGGGGGGCTCATATGGAGCAGGGAATACGCGGAATTTGCAGTTGCAGTATGACATGGGTTAGATTATGAGTTTCCCAATCTAATTGGATAACATCCTTGATTGGAACATTAGTCCAGCCGCATCCTATCTCTAGAGCTTCGAATAATGTCTTTGGAATATGTAACTGCTGCTCTTCTTGTCAACGCTTTGTATGAAGCATTTTGAGCCGCTAATGGTCGTCGCAATGGCTTCCAATCACTGTTGTCAGCCCCTTCATTGGTGGGTGGTCATGGTCGGTATTAGTGATTGGCTCGCTGATGGGTCAAGGCAGCGCCCTATTGTCTTGCAGCCAACGAATGTCGCACCAACTCTCCGGCTTTCGCAACACCCCGCCATCACCTGCACCTAATGTATCACAGCAGTTTATCTATCCTCTTCCCTTGAACCGAGATCAACCAAATTATTCCTCCTGTGCTGTCATCGCGTGAAATATCAGCCCCCAGAAATTTGTGCAGATGCGTCTCAAGTGTACACAAGAAGCATGGATTTGTCTCCCCTAGTAAAGGTACGTTCGTTATTGGGCTGTCGGCATGTGCTAGTTACCTGCCTCTCCATCGCTTCTTCTCTCCCCCTAGAGCCACGCAATCGCATCTGGCCAGGGCAAGATAACCGAGATGGAAGTCGATGTCGGATGAGCTTAAAATCTCGCTAATGATAGCACACCCCCTAGGCCCACGACCATGCGAGAGCCGCATCAGTTGCGACCCAGACCGCCGACACCACGGTCGCCATCAACCACCATGCCCAGGCCGCCGGCGAGTTCGCAAACGCTGCAAAGAGCACTACGAGCACCGAGGCTCTACGGACGTTGGCCCTCCTAGAGCAGCATCACAAGCGCTTGGCCGAACTACTCAAGGTGCCAATCGAGCCCACAAGTCAGCCATCGAGTGTGGACAGTGACATTCCTGAGGAAGATGAGGAAAAGGCATCAACAAGTCAGGATGCCGTGATCAAGTCAGCCAAATCGGACAGGGCTGCACCGCCTTCGCTCGCCACACCACCCAGCGCAGCTAAACCCCTACCCACTCTTTCGCAACATCCCAGATACCGTCAGCGTGACCTTTCCTCGTCCATTGCCAGCAAGCTTGCGTCAGCAAGAGGGATAAGATCGAGATACCAAGGGCAGAGCCAACCGTTGAACCCCAGCGTGTCCAATGATCAGGCACCCGGCAACTTGGAAGTCCATCCTCGGAACAGAGAGGGCTCGCTGAGGGGTGGAAGCAAGGGAAACGAAGTGTCTGATAGAGCACAAAAACAACAGCCGAGCTGGGTACCTCCAGGGAAAACGTCACCAACCAAGGAAGATGCGGCTGGTTCCTCTTCGAAACCTCAAGTATCTGGTCCCGACTTACCTACAACTACCGACGACGGTTTTACAAGATTTTACAGCACATTCGGTAGTCTAATCAACCGACTTTCCGCGCCTCTAGCCTTCGCCGGCCTTCCCTTGACAGCCGAGGACTCGCCGGACACGGCCAGCCCGGTGCTCTCCCCGGAGATCGCGCCGCGCTCAGGGTCAAAACCGCCCCGGCAACCCAAAGCCACAACTGTTTCTGCCTCGAGCGACCCGGATCTTACCAAAATCTACTCCCGCGCGACTCTACGCACTCTTGCTCGCGATGGCCACGCGCCTGCCGACTCGTTCTACGTGGTTCCAACCAGCGGCCACACTGCCTCCTATGCCAGCATCCTCAACCACGAGCAGAAGGAGAAGCGGCGCCTAGCCGCCTCGATCCACGGCCACCGCGATCACGGCAACGGTAATCCCCTGGACGACCAGGAAGAGGATGAGGACGATTTTGTCGACGCTCGGGAGTCGCAAATCCAGTCCCCGCCCGTTCTCCCACCATCGTCCTCCTCGGCTGCTACAAACCCCTCGGCCTTCCGCAAGAGGCTAGGCAGGCCAAAGACAGAAAAGGATCTGACCAACGTGATCGAGGAGCTTCACATGGAGAACCAAACGCTCAAGGATGCGCTCGACAAGGTGAGCAGGCGGCTGCATACGTTTGAGGTCCACTCGCAGACTTCAACGCTGGCGTTGGCGCAGAGTATCCGGTTGCAGCATCCTGGCACCGGCACTGGTGGTACCGCCGGTCACGGTTCGCCCATCAATGCTAGTGGCGTGATGGGCGCTACCGCCCAGGGTGCTCGTCCGGAAGAGGTGGCGGCGCTCAAGAGAAGGAACAGAGAGTTGGAGGAGCAAATGATGAACATGACGAGGCAAATGGCGGTTATGGAAAAGGATTATGACAAGCTGCAGAAGACGGTGGAGAAGTATAGAGAGCGGTGGGAGCAGTTGAAAGCGGGAGCCAAGGCGAGGAGAGAGGCTCAACAGAGCTTGAGTGGACAGGGGAGTGGTGGAAATCAAGGAGAGGGTGGTGGTGGTGGTGGTGGTGGTGAAGCTGCTTGAGAAAGATGGGAAATAAAGCAACATGTGTTGAGTATATGCATCTAGAAAGAGTGAAATAGAAGTACTATCATGTCTGATTGAAAGTACATTTCACTTTCACCTACCTCAACTCCAACCTCAACTCTGACAACGCCCACTTCAGTTACGAACCCTCTCGTCAGCCAAGCCCCTAGTCCGCAGCTCCCCACCTCCCAACCCCGATAGCCTCCCTTCCGTCCCATCACCGACGACAGCCAACCATTTCCCACTATTCTGATCCCGGGTCTTCCCGTCTTCCCGTCTTCCGTCTTCCGTCTTCCGACCCCTCTCGGTGCCCGGTCTTCCCGACCCCGACCCCGTACCGCCACCGGGAACACCCATGTCTGATCATGCATTATGTAAAAAAGAGAATATCCACATCAAGGTCATATGATGTCACTTATTTGCCCCAGCGCGATAATCAAGAAAAAAAAGGGACAGATTGCGGTATCGACTTTGGGGGAGTGAAGATGGGTGAGATAAGTGGGATGAGTTGTGCAAATGGCCGAGAGATGGGCAAGATGTGTTGGTTCATTTTTGGTTGGAGAGGGAAAATGTGGTTGGTTATTAGGGAGGTTTGGAGGAGGTGAAGATGTGGAGGGAGTGGTTCCTTCGGTTTGGTAGTAGTGGTGATGGTGATAGAGATGGCGGAAATATAGCACTGGATTACTGCGTAAACATAGAAAAGTACTGTAAGTGCTGGATGTACGACGTGGTAGTGGGTAGGTTTTGGGCGGATGGGTAGGTATAGTAAGTATACTCCAAGCGAAAATGTATACATCAGAGTAAGCGTGATGAGGGTAAATGCCACCTCCCGAATATGTTTCGAGCTGGTAAAACATAGACTTCTGGTATAACGTTTCCCCCGCTGTTCTATCTAGATGACTGTACATACTCCTGTTGATATTTAGCCTTTGCATCCATCTCCCCGAGGCAGTTAACTTTGATGAGTTGAACATCGTTGGTGCTCTTCCTTACACTTTACACTTCCCTTCTCCCTCCCCTTTGCCCATCTCTCCTTGTCCATCCCTCCCAACTCCATTCCTTTCCCCCACCCTTCCTATTACCAAGCAGTAATATCCTCCACCTCCGCCTCTCCAAACGTACTACTCTTGGTAATCTGCCCAACGGAGCTCTCCGCCGCCTCACTACCCTCAGGGACATCCTTGTTCATAATATCCGGCAATACCTCCCTCAAGAAGTTGAGAATGTACCGGTTGACCTGTTCAAACTGGAGCAGGAACGCGTCGTGGCCCTCGGGGCTGTCAATCCTTTCGAGGCGACTATCGGGGATATGCTGCGCCAGCTCCTCCTGCTCGGCGAAAGTAAAGAGCCCGTCGCTCTCGATGCCCAAAACTAGCGTGGGCTGCTGGATCAAAGCCAACGCCTCGGCGATGCTGGCCGCCCGCCCCCGGGAAACGTCGTGCGTGTCCAGCTTGCGCGTCATGGCGATGTAGCAGTTGCTGTCGAAGCGCTTGACGAACTTGGAGCCTTGGTAGCGCAGGTAAGACTGCGCGGAGAAGTATGTGGATTGCGGGGGCATGACGTCGCCGCCGGTGAGGCTGGTGGTGGTGGTCGTCGTCTTTTGGGGACCGTGGAACTGGGGGTCGGATTGCGCTTCGTGGGAGGAGGCATTGCTGGCGGCGGCGGCGGTGGGGGCATCGACGGGTCTGGCAATGCCAGTGCTGTCGTTGCTGTTGGACCGCGACAGGCTGGTCCGCTTCACCTTGTGTCCATCGTTGTGGATGTGGAAGTGCGCCTCCGAGGGGGTTGACGGGGTGGGCCGCTCCCGGATGATCTGCCGGCGGGACGGATCGGGGGTGTTCCGGCCGAAGCGGGCCTCGAAGGAGTTTCGGCTCCGGTAGGTTAGGAGAGCGGACATGCGGGCGGCTCCGAGACCGGTAGAGGGTGGGTCCTCAAAGGAGTAGTAGCCGTCATCATACTTGGGGTCGGCGTAGATGGACTGGCGCTGAGCCTCACCCCAGCTGATGCCCCAAGCGCTGTGCCTGCTCGACGTGGCGATGGGAACGACGCATCGCACGTAGTCCTTGCCAAAGTAGGCCCATTCGAGAACAAACATGCCGCCAAGAGAACCGCCGATGACGGCGGCTACCTGGCGCACGCCCAAGTCGTCCAGCAGCAGCTTGTGCAACCTGACATCATCCCTGATGGTGGTCAGGGGGAATTCGGGGCCGTAACGGCCCTTGGTCGGATCGCCGTCCTTGGCAGTTACGGGGCTGGCGGTGCCGTAAGGACTTCCCAAGCTGTTGAAACAGACGATGAAGAAGCGCGAGACATCAAAGGCCCGGCCAGGTCCGCCCAGGAGGGGACCCCACCAGTCACTCACGTCGGCGCTGCCAGTCAAGGCGTGGCAGATGACCATGGCATTGTCACCGTCGGCATTGAGCGTGCCGCGGGTGGTGTAGGCCACAGGGACATTGTGAAGCGTGACACCCGACTCTAGGGTGAAGGAGGGAATCACGGCAATTTGCTGGTCTGGGATGAGAGCCGCGAACGGATTCTCGGGTTGGGATTGGATTCTTTCTTGGAAGTATTCAGCCACCGTTCTTTGACAAGGCTAGGGCAGGCATGGGAAGGGGACAAGCGAGTAAACTGACCATATTTGGGTCGGGCCTGACCAGCAGTAGTGGTGTTGCTCATGATGAAGTAAGGTGAGCCTAGACTCTGGCGTTTGATGAGGGATGAGGCTCGCAGACAGAAATGTTTGTCTCCTGCGCGGTTGCGTCACTGTTTAGATCCCCGAATTATGTAGTTCAAGTCTTGGCCGAAAAACAAATACAGAAACGGAAAAAAGATCCAAGACTAGAGTTGGTGCAAACGAGAAAGGTCAAAACTTGGTCCCAAGCATTTAAGGAGAGGCCGAGGCTATGACTCCAAAGTCAAGACACTAGACTAATTGCCGGCCTAGAAGGGAACCGGAGGGAACAACTGGCAAAAAAATGTCACAGGCGTGGATGGCGCAATCACTAGACTGGCTCGTCCCTGACAAAAAAAGTGGCACTTTTTCGGGCAGTACATGGGCGATGAGCGCAACAAAAGGTGCCACCTTTTTTGTCAGGGGCGAGACTGGCACCGGCCGTGGTGGAACTGCTCCTCAAAAAGATGACTCTTGAATGGACAGTCGGGATAAAGAAAGAAAAAAAAAAAAAAAAAAAAGAGGGTAATGTCGGTACAAGGCCCAGGTAGACACCGGGAGGGTGTTAGGCATCGTCACCAAAAAGAGAATCACTTGCAGATGGACGCCGGCAATCGGCCATCTGGGGCGGGGACCAGGGGGTGGCTGGCCCGTGCATAGGTCTCCGGCATTCCCCTCGTCCTGGAAGCGGAGGAGGATGGACCTGAGGAGGAGGAGGAGCCCCACGCGGCCCACGAGCCAGGCACGCTCCACACTGCAGCTTACAGTACAGTACCTCTACAGTGCACTTCCCGGCGCTTCAGGGTTTCTGCCCACTCTCTCAAGTTTGCAACAACTGCCAACTGAAGTTGCAGCCTCATCTGCAAGGCTGAGTCCTGCCTCTTCGCTCCCGCTCTGCCACAGCTCTTATCGCATCCCCACTTATTTTTTATCACTGTCCATGCTACCTCTACGATGGAAGGAAACAGCGGACAGCAACCTACGCAGCACAAGTAATTGACTGGCAAACCCGCCCAGTACAAAGGCACCTACACCACAACCAGAGCTCCTACGATTTGACGCGCTAAAGTACTGGCACAGCAAACCACAACCCAGACAGACGCCGCAACTGCAACCAGCAACGGGCTGCAGCTACAAACTACTTCCTTACCTCTGCCTTCCCATTCACCATTCAGCATTTCTCGTGGGACGACGGACAGTTTGAATTTCCTCCACCTTCGCCAACGAAAAAAAAAAACCAACCACGGATTTTCAACGAGGCACGGTAGTCATCAAACGACGGACACACCACGTCGCCATTTTCTTTGTCCGCC